ACTGGTGGAGGGCTGCAGTGATGGTTGACTTTCTTTGACTTTCTACAACTTTCTCCCATCTCCTGACTGCATCTCTGGAGCTCAGCCACAGTCATCTTTGGGTTCTTCTGTACCTCTCTCACCGAGGCTCTTCTCCCCCGATAGCTCAGTTTGGCCGGATGGCCAGCTCTAGGAAGGGTTCTGGTTGTCCCAAACGTCTTCCATTTAAGGATTATGGAGGCCACTGTGCTCTTAGGAACCTTAAGTGCAGCAGAAATTTTTTTGTAACCTTGGCCAGATCTGTGCCTTGCCACAATTCTGTCTCTGAGCTCTTCAGGCAGTTCCTTTGACTTCATGATTCTCATTTGCTCTGACATGCACTGTGAGCTGTAGGGTCTTATATAGACAGGTGTGTGGCTTTTCCTAATCACGTCCAATCAGTATAATCAAACACAGCTGGACTCAAATGAAGGTGTAGAACCATCTCTGGGATGATCAGAAGAAATGGACAGCACCTAAGTTAAATATATGAGTGTCACAGCAAAGGGTCTGAATACTTATGACCATGTGATATTTCAGTTTTTCTTTTTTAATAAATCTGCAAAAATGCCAAAAATTCTGTGTTTTTCTGTCAATATGGGGTGCTGTGTGTACATTAATGAGGAAAAAAATGAACTTAAATGATTTTAGCATATGGCTGCAATATAACAAAGAGTGGAAAAATTTAAGGGGGTCTGAATACTTTCCGTACCCACTGTAGATAATGGAAGAATGGACCAAATATAATGTCTCTTCACCTTCTGGTGTTCCATTTTACCCCACCAGATGGGACACTCGATCCAACAACACATCTAAAGCCAGCCACTCAGTTGATGCTCATACTGCTGAGGTCAACTGTCTGAGCTTCAATCCATACAGCGAGTTCATTCTTGCCACTGGTTCTGCAGATAAGGTAGAGTAGAAGCAAAAATACTCTCTGATCTCTGAAATATTTTTGCCAAATTCAGAATTATAATGATGTACCTGGGCAACAAATCAACTTGTGGAAAAATTGACACATTTTTGTTTCTCTCAGACTGTTGCATTGTGGGATTTAAGGAATCTGAAACTGAAACTACACTCTTTTGAGTCCCACAAAGATGAAATTTTCCAGGTAAGAATTTAAATAGCTTCAGTGTTGTACAAACACAATGTATATGAGACTCTCTCTCTCTCTCTCTCTGTGTATATATGTATACACACACATGCACACGTATATGTGTGTATATGTGCTGTCATTTGATTAAAATTTTTAATCACAAGATGGTCCATAGTTAACTTGATTAATTGCAAATTGATTGCACATTATTTTAATATGTTCTAAACAGAGGTGGAAGTAAGTACATTTGCTCAAGTACTGTACTTAAGTAGAATTTTGAGGTATCAGTACTTGAGTATTTTCATTTTCTGTTACATCATACTTCACTGCATTTGAGAGGCAAGTATTGTACATTTTACTCCACTATATTTATTTTGTAACTTTAGTTGGTAGTTACTTGTCATAACTAGATTAATACAAAAAAATACAGTATAATTATAAGACCTCATTGATCTCTGGTGGAAAATTTACAATTTATCCAGTAGTAATTCAAATTAAATGCATATGAACTAGTTAAAACTTGCTCCCCTTTAACCAGCTGCAACATTAATTGTGATGTACACAATAATGCATCAGTAGTTATAAAACAATAATAAGATATATAGGAATGTGGAATGTGTCATTCTGCATAATGAGTAGATAGGTAGGTGGGTAGAACTTTATTGATCCCACAGTAGGGAAATTCCAGTGTTCCAGCAGCAGTAAAGGACAAAACAATAAGACTAAACACCCCACACATATCTTGAGAAAACAAGATCCAGGTACCCGAAAAACCAAACAAAAATATAGTATTTCAGAGACAATCAAGAACAAGAATAGACCTCCCACAGTTTGTCCCTGAGACACAAGTTAAAAAAGATACCTAGGAACAAGACAAAAAAGAGTATTAGTAGTAGTATTGAGAGGAATCAAGAAAACAACCAGGAAATCAAGACAATTGAATATTACTCTCACAATTAATCCCACAATGGGGGAAAGAAGCCTGTGTTTCAGCCATAATAATCCCTGAGGAACTACTCAAAAATACCTAAAGCAGGGCAATGTACAATATTTGAGAGAGATCAGGAGCAAGATATTACACATGAGCCTATTTACAATGCATTTCACCCCCAGGATCTGAATTTTGCACCTCAGTCCTCCACCATAGTCCCTCATAATTTCACCTATCTTATCACTGCAGTGATGTGTTGTACAGTCTGATGGCTGTGGGGAGGAATGACCGGCAGTAATGTTCCTTCTTACACTGGAGATGTAACAGTCTCGTGCTAAAGAACTGTTCAGAGTTGTGCAGGGGATGGGAGGGGCTATGCATGATGGGTTTTAGTTTCACCAGCATCCTTCTGTCTGCCACCTCCTCGATGGAATCCAGAGAGCAGTTCAGGACAGACCCAGCTCTCTTAACCAGCTTGTTGAGTCTCTTTCTGTCCCTGACCGTGCTACCTCCTGCCCAACCCACAACAGCGTAAAAAACTGCAGATGCCACCACAGAATCAT